AGTTGCTGTGCGGTGGGCCCTTGATTGTGCGCCGGGAGGAAGATGGCTCGCGGTTGCAGGTTCTCGGCCATGCGGGGGGCTAAATTTCGTGTTTTGACCCTTTTCCCAAACCTATTCGAGATCTGACCCTAGGTTGAAAAAAAATCGAGATCTGACTCTTTTGCTACCGCCAGAGTCCATGGCGGCAGTGGCGGAGCTTGACCCAGAAAGCTGGGCGGGCCGACTGTAGAAAATAACTGCAGGGAATATGTTCCATGGCCCAAAACGAAGTATATACTACAGAAAATAGCATGGGCTGGGCGGGCCATGGCCCATTCGGCCTTGCCGTAGCTCCGCCACTACATGGCGGTAGGGTCTAATAGCCTACCGCCAGGGACTTTGGCGGTAGGAAACATCGTACCGCCAAACGGGCTGGCAATAACCTGCATAACCCTACCGTCAAGGTGCTTGGCGGTAGGCACGAGCACGCACTGTGTTCAATACTTAGGAGGTTTTTGGCGGTAGGGCATGCAACCCTACCGCCAGGGTCCTTGGCGGTAGGCTGTTATACCCTACCGCCATGGTCCCTGGTGGTAGCAAAAGGGTCAGATCTCGAAAAAAATTCAAACTAGGATCAGATCTCGAATAGGTTTCAGAAAAGGGTCAAAACATGAAATTTAGCCCATGGGGGGGGTAGAAGACGTGTTGCATGCTATTGTTTGCGCATGCGTGGTGGGCCATAGTGTTTCAGCTACGATGACAAGGTGCGGATGCTTCGGCAAAGTGTCCAACATGGACGGTGTTGCCGCAATCCGGCGGGCGGGGATAGAGGATTGCTACAAATGGAAGTCCTACATGTCTTCGGTTGCGCCGCCGGCGCCTGTGGGTATCCTTCCCCTCCTTGGAGGCGTCGATGAGGTGCCCCCCCCCCACCACCACCACCCGCGACATTTGTGTTTGGTTCTTATCTCCGGGCGAAAGCCTAGGTTCGGTTTCGAATCAACGATGATGACATCACCGACGTCATTCCGTAGTTGGGAGCATTATGTACGCAGACATGGTTGGGAGGTCTTGTGTTGCATTCCTTTGGTGCTCGTTGCTGCGAAGGTCATGTGGTGCATTCTTTTGATGCTCGTAGTTGTCCTAGGTCGATCTTCATGGGCGCTATGTATGTTGTCGCTTATGCGTAGGGCTGGACCAAAAGCTTGTGGTTCGCAAGCTTAATGAGTACTCGATAGTTCAGCTCGTTATGCTCGTGGCTCGTTTCTTAATGAACTGAGTCAATCATCAATTTCAGCTTATTAAGCTTAACGGGCTTGATGAATGAGCTAACGAACGAGTTTCATGTGTAGCTCGTTAAACTCGTTAGTAACAACACAACACAACACATATTTTCATCTCACGTGACAAAAATTTTGTAGCACCTCAGCCCATCTATTAAATCTAATCAACATAAAGAGGCAACAAAGTAGATGGGCGAGATTAAGTTTCAAACAAACCAAATCGAGCAGGATTTTTTGCTCATTAAGCTTAACGAGCACGAGATTAACGAGCCGAGCAGCTCGTTGATCCACTCCTTGTGTGCCCAAGACGATGCCTCCGTCAAGACTAATCAAGTCCTTCCACCTACTCGCCATCCTCTTTTTAGGCACTCATGGGTGGATGAGTTTCTGTTGGCTTCGCCGGTGTTGGTCGTGACACGCTTTGTCTTTCTAATAACTTAGGGTAGGCCCTATGTGTTGTGGCTGTGAATTGCAACGTATGTGGTGGCTAGTCAAATTTGTAATACACTTGTTGCTTGCAACAGATAGTCTTTGGAATTTGTTTTCTGCCATCTATAAAAATATGATACACCTAGACGTACTCTAAAAGAAATAGTCACACAATTCCATGAATACTCGGTGCAGAAGCTACAAAGACCACTTCAATTTACAATACTTAGGAATACCATATTCCACATCAATAAAAAAACTCCTAGCAAAATATCTCACAAATAACATTGTATTTGAATCTCAAATAGAACACAACCTTCCCGAGCAATATAAATCAATGGAGAATCATCGAGACCTACACTCTTTTTTTTTCATGGAAAGTTACAGCTATATGAGCATTCTCATATGATATTTCATATCTGCGTCAGTTTATCACCTGTTTTGTGTAACATTCACAAGGTCACAATGCGGTCAGTGTTCATGTCCCATTCACAAGGTCACAATGCGGTCAGTGTTCATGTCCCATGTAATGCGCAGACAAGAGGTGTATCGAGCAACTCTCTCCGTCCGGAAATACTTGTCCGAGAAATGGATGTATCTAGACGTATTTTAGTTCTAGATACATTCATTTCCATCCATTTCTATGCAAGTAATTCCGGACGGAGGGAGTACTTACTATCTGTCTAGCTAGGTATGTTCTTACTTCTTAGTAAACACAAGCTAGTAGGGCACACATCAGTATAGATTATTTCAGAAGATATAACACCAGACCTACATGGGGTACAAATTATAACAATCCGGAATTCAAACTCGAGAAGGTACAACAGCAGAGAATTGCAGAGACATTGGAACTCTGGCCTAACAGAAATAAACAGCAGGACCACAGGACATGGATTGCTTCTTGGCTGCAAGCTTGCCATGGTGTTCACTGAGTTTTCTGATCTCCCATGATTTGTTGCGTTTCTCCCAGCAACACCTGAGATAAGCTGTTGCGGACGAAACTCTCGAGGGTATATATATATCCAGCAAAAAACTGTCTAAACTCACAAATTCCATGAATACTCGGGGCAGAATTTTCAAAGATCATCTCTAAAATAATACGTAAGATACCAAGGAAGCCCATGTTCTACATTAATGCCAAATTTCAGTACCAAACATTAATGCAAAATTTCAGTACCAAAATTTGACGTTGAAATTTGGCATGCATACATATCACAACCTTCCCGAGCAGTATAAATCAGTCAAGAATCGTCAGAACCTACACCTCATTTTCATGGAATTTGCAGCTTTAGAAGCATTTTTGCCTGATATTTCATATATGCCGGTTTCTGTCTTCATCAGGATGCTTGGATAATATATATGCATCTCACAACTATATATTAATGCTGACCACAGTCTTTCTGAAACAGCTATTGATGAGTATGCGCTGCAACTAATCAACGAACAACTTTCCACACAACATATGCAAAAGCAAACCTGAGCCACACCTAAAAGACCTAAACAAATTACAAACGAGTCAGGTTAGCACTCAGGGAAACCCTACTCATCACCAGCTCAACCCGTCCCACCTACTCACATTAACTTAAACAGAGGGCGACAATCAAAACTGGCTAAAACTACAACAGAAGCAGCTTAGGCAAAGTTCAAACTGGGCATTCTACATAAATAAGTCATCTCCATGTGAAAGACATGTCCAGGGAGCAATGCTTCTCTTGCAAAGTTGCTTAGACACTAGTAATCAACTTAGATACCTTATAAGCCATCTGTTGAACTCGATTCGTAAACTTGCAAGATTCCTACCTTGATTACCAGTATCTAAGAAACTTAACAAGAAAACATTGCCCATATGGTGGCCATTCTTTGTATTTCTTTCTGGACTGGATTTTCTACTGGGCCACTTTCATCTACTGCGGTGGTCATATTTATGTCGCCTTCAATTACCACTGGAATTTCAGTAGAGCCGTTTGTATTTACCTGACTTCCAAAAGAAGAAGGCAAACCTTCCTTAGTATTGGTATTTGTCCTCACAACCTTTATCGATGAACAAACCTTGGTTAATTTACTCTGCTTCTTGCACCGCAGATGGCAAGCCATGGTGGCGTAGTTACCACAACTGACTCTGCAGTGATCACACCACAGGTAGTTGTCCTTCCGAACAACTTCATGCATTGCACCGTCTACTAGCATGCATATTTTCTTAGGTGCATCACAAGGATCTGTGCTGCTCTCAATCCCAGTGGTCATCTGTGAGCAGTTTTTGCCATCTTTGATCGTCTTGCTAACGCCACACTGTGCCAACTTTGCCTTATGCTTTGTTCCTCCAAGATGCGCATTTAGAGCAGCTTCACATGGTCGACTAACCTGGCATAGTGCACAGCTCCAGTCCTTGGTTGGTTTCTGTACTTTCTTTGGCACAGTAGTTGCAACATGTGCATCTGCTTTCCTCTTCACCATTGGAACCTTTGGATTTGATGAAAGAGCCTGAGATGAACATTCAATGCAATAGTTAATCAGGTGCGCATATGTAACAACATCCCGTAGCTCTAGAATAATAGCATGTTATATGGTTATTCGGATGATTGCAAGTTGAAACTATGTCTCATGATCGAATGTATCTCTCTACAGCTAGCAATACCAATCAAATAAATGGAAGGAGACAAGTAGAATCAATGGGAAATCATCAGCATCCTTTCAAACTCTGACTCTGATATGAGCTTTGATGTGCCCAGTAAGCAATATTACCACCAAAAATAACCTCATAACTTTCACCAAACAGTGGTGACAAGAATCAGATTGTTCACCTGTCACCCTTTTGCTACAAAAGGAATACTCTCTTCAGATTACTG